CAGCGGGAAGCCCTGGCCACCGTATGGGCCGTGGAGCACTTTTCATTTTCCCTTCTCGGCCGGCACTTCACACTGAGAACTGACGCACAGGGTGTTGCCTTCATATTAAACCGATCTGGAGAGAACTCTAAAAGGGCATTAACAAGAGCCGATGGGTGGGCACTTCGCCTTAGCCCATATAGTTATAATGTGGAATACATACGAGGCCGGGATAACATCGCTGACCCACCATCCCGATTGTACACTGGGAATGACGAGCCTTTTGAAGAGCAGCACAGCCCTTGGGAAATTGCTGTTCTTGAGGCAAATTCGGTTGGTTTTCTGACTGAGAAGGAACTCCGGGAAGAAACAGCGCTTGATACAACCAGAGGTGGCAACAGTACATTTTTTGAAAAACCATCGTCCAGAGCGAAACAAAACAGCCAGCACACTGGCGACCGTGTATAACTACATTCCAAGCGAACAGCGGAGGTAGAGAATAAATAAAATCTCGCAGCCTGATTTTTCCAAACAGTTTATTGTAATGAAATTTTAGCTGCAGGCTTGCGTGTGACAGTAAATTACCAACTCCCTTATTTACGCATAATTTTAACATCAATGCTTATGAGTGGTCAGTCTTCATTCTTATCTTTTAATTCCATGCAATAAACATCAAATAAATGCAGTAATTAGCCAGAAATCAGCAAAATACTACACGACATAAATTTGTGTCACGCGCGCCGCCGGTCTTGTCTGCTTCTTTGTGCGAAAATGTTTTGTCGCTGGCAGAAAACAGTTTAGAAATGTCATGACATTTTTGCCGCTTGCCAGTTTGTTTTTGTGTGTCGTCACAATGGTTATCGCAAAATGTATCAAATGTTAAGGAAAAAATGTTAAACTCCAGGACTCGTGCCACCACTGGATACAACACTCCAAAATGTACTCGATGCGCTAGAGACTAACGTCTGGCCCAAAGACCTTAAGAGGTTCGAAAGCATAGCAGAAAACTTATCAGTTCACGACGGAATTTTAGTGAAAAATGGGTGTGCTGTGGTCCCAAGCAAGCTCCGGGAGAAGACTCTGAACTTGGCTCACGATGGGCATCCAATGACTGCTAAGCTTAAAAGTATTTTACGAGAGCACGTATGGTGGCCTGGCCTGGATACCGACGCAGAAGAGTGGGTCAAAACCTGTAAAACTTGCGCAACTAATGGCTTACCGGAAAAACCAACTCCAATGAAGAGAATCTTCGCTCCCCAAGCTGTCTGGGAAACCGTAGCGTTGGATTTTAATGGCCCGTACGCTAGATTCGGCGGAATCTCAATTCTACTAATTGTCGATTATCGATCCAGGTTCTTAATTGCTCGACCGATTAAGTCGACGAACTTTGAACAAACAAAACAGATCCTCGACGAAGTCTTCGCACGCGAAGGTTTTCCGAAGAATATTTGCTCCGATACAGAATGGCGCAACAGAATGGCCTCGTCGAAAATTATATGAAACTCGTTAATAAAGCGATGGCATCTGCTGTCAGTAACGGATTATGTTTTAAGAAAGAGCTGCAAGCTGCTGTTAATGCGCACAATGCCGCCACCCACCAAGAAAGTAGGACACTGGCGTGAGTCCGACGACAAAAGTGAGGGCGCTGGTCCGGCTAGTCGAAGCGCCGAGGACCTTCTGCAAGAAAGAACATCCGAGCGGCCACGCAGAGCAAAGAATCTTCCCAGCTACTTAAGAGACTACGTGCAGATGCTTGAAGTTTGACGAAAACATAATATCCACCAGCTAACTAATACACCCCTGCACTCGTTTATTTGCTGACATGATTTATTTTCTCATACGCATTCAGTTTAGAATTTGTAGGTTGAATTTACTCACTTCTAAAATTAAAGACGGAAATCAAACGATGAGTTTATTTTATTTACCTCTGCTGAGCGCCACATCGTCACCTAAAACTTCTTACAACATTTTGTCTTCGTCCCCATCTTGGTTACACCTGAGAACAACAACTTAACATGTATCCGGTAAATTCCTCTTGTTTGCGAATAAAGGACACATGCATCGCTCATTTTACCAGACGATCACACCGGACGGTAAACATACGACGTATTTATCAGCAAATTGAAACAAGCTTTTTTTTCATTTGAACGTATTTAAACTTTTCTCATTGTGTACAACAACAGTTACTGAAATAACGGAAATTAAATTATCAAGTCTGTCGAACCATCATGTAAACAGTTAGATTGGACTGACAGCGATGGGAAGAAAATCCACTGAACTGAAACTTATGTCGACACGTTCTCGGTCGACACTGACTGATATGTCAATTAAATCAACAGAGTGAAACATTTCACACACTCTAATCGAAAACTTGTAAATCCGAAAATTAACTCAAAGTTGTATTGCAGAGAAACTTATTTTGATTATTTAGCTACCATTGGGTACACAATCCAGTGGAAATGACAAGAAATCAATGTAAATTGTAGCGCGGCATAAGGTTTTACACACCAGAGTAAATAGCTAATATTAATTTACCAAAAATATGGATAACTCGAATGGGAAAGGGAGAAAGTCTTTAGTGTAACCATGGCCAGTTAAATTGAGCTAAAGAATGTGTTCTTCTTTTTAAATGTAGAAGGGAGATGTGTGGTATTAATATGTGGTATGTTAGGCGTATGCTATAAAACCCGAACATAACTCGGCTTCGGGTCCGACTAACATCGTGACGAAACCCACACACGACAAATAACGATGAAGGTGCGTCACGAACAATCCTCGTCCTCTCTTTCATCTCAGACCCGTCACCACGTGCAGACGCTTGGGTAAGTAACTGACGAGGTCCCAATTGGATTCCGCAGCAAATAGCGGAGTTGCACAGGTACTTAACTCGAAAATTCAATCGCCGTTTAAATCGAATGAGCCGTTTCTAAAATACAGCGTCCGCCAATTTTGCCATCTGCCATCTGGTAACGACGCGGCAGCAGTTGGAACTACCACAGAGAACAGACATGGAGGCTCGAACAAAATTTCTCTAAAAATGTGTGTAAAGATTCCTATTCGACTTAAGCGCCACTAACGGCGTCTTCCCCACTTAAAACCCCTCTTTGACAACATGATGGCGCTGGCGTTGCACAAATTACACTAGACACTAAGTGCTAGTAGCGCCAAGTGGCAATTTTCAACAGAAAATTTATCGATACTAGCGCCAAATTGGTCGAAAGTGGAAAATTTATAGAGAAAATCAGGAAATGCTAACACCACGTATGTCCCTCGAATTCATGGAGCATTGAAAAATAAAACAAAAACTAATATGTGGTGGTAAACTATAACGAACAAAGCTTGGTGCACAGGTAAACAAATGAGCAAATATATTATATTAACAATATGATCCACTCTTTCACTTAGCTGGCGAACCGAATTTTCAGCGATGAAAGCACCTCTGTGGCCAAAAAGGCTACTAGTGTATTTTTTTATCGTCACGAGGGGTAAACCAAATGAAAATTTGTTTAATATTTAAAATTAATATATTTCAGCACTTTAATTTATTTGATGACAACAGTGACATGTCAGACAAATTTTAAAGTAACATACACAATGTAATTAATGAAAATGATTTGACTCTTATACCCCGTTCACATTACAGCCTATATCACGTAATATAGGCTGTCTTGCAATGAGCACTCATACATAGGATTTCCAGTGAAAACTAGATGTATGAGTGCTCATTGCAAGACAACCTATATTACATGATATAAGCCATAGTCTGTCCGGGGTATTACTTTTGTAATAAGTGCTATATCCACACCCCTCGATTGTAATTGAATGATTGTTGCTGACCTTTTTCTACGCTAGATGGTGCGTGAAGCAATATTTTGCGGGTCGCCATTGCAACATTTGGAAAAGGCATGAATGGATCATATTGTTAATATTATGATATATTTGGTTGCAACCAACAATTAAATATCTGAGTACTGCGGACTCACTCAAGGTGCTTGTCACTTGGGAGCCAGTATGAACTGTCAGACGGGAGCCAAACATTCAGAAGCAGCAAATACAGTTACTGTTCTTATCTACCGTCAAGAATTTAATCTCATAAAAATGATCTATACTTTTTCATAACACATTCTTAATTTTAAGCTCAATGATAAAAACCAACAGGCTCAGTGATGAAAGTATAAAAACCAGCATAATTTTTATGAGGCAGCTGAGTTTTCAATTACAGTAAAGCAATCTTTTGCGAAACATGTATGTAAACAAACTTTGATAGAGTCATGGGGGCTCGAGCACTCCTGGCCCAGAGCTTTTGGCGGGAATCAACTGAGAAAGAGAAAACCAGTTTTAATTTTGGGAAAATTTTCAAGCAGTTTTCCATTAGCTTGCAAATCAAAATTGGTCGACTCCGCAGTACCCAGTTAAATATTATCTGTTTCTTTGGTAACAAAACACGCCGAAAACGACGCAGAAATCGTCGCCATAGGAATTTGTATGGCGATGATTTCTGCGTCGTTTTCGGCGAAACAGATAATAATTTGGCAAAGAAAATAAAGTACCGCTAATCATGCCCTAATGAAAATACATCAGTACACGGTAATTGCAAAAAACTCTTTTATGACTATAAAGTACACATTTTTGAATGAAAACGGGACTACCCACAAAATGAGTAAAATTTTACACATTTATGAGTAATTACTAGTACAAAAATGAATAAATTTTATGCATTTATGAGTACCAGATACTCATAAAATGTGTAAAAAATACACACATTTTAGGTGTAGTCCCGTTTTAGCCGAATATGCATACTTTATAGTCAAAATTGAGTCCTTTATAGTCATTTTTGCGTATTTTGCGGTTTCCGTGTAGTTCGAATGCTCATACAAAGGTGGCGCATTTATCGTACAAATGAACATACCTCAGTGTCTGATAAAGGTAAAGACCGAGAACGAAAAACTTCAAAACTGCGAGTAGTGCTGTTGTTGTTGTCATTAAATTAGATAATTTCCTCATAAATTAATTTAAATTTGTAGTTTTCACCTTTTTATATATAAAAAAGCACTGTTCAACATGCTCACCAACCTGCCCCTGGTGTCGTTAGCGCGTCAATCTATGGCCATCGCAAGCTGCCGGTTCATTTCGTCCAGCACAGCCGCCGTGGTGAAGGTTCACCGCAGTGTTTACGCAAGAAGGTATCCCACGATGGTCGTCCTGCCGAATGGTGCCACCATCAACGTTAGCTACCACGAACCGCGGAGGATCATCAAGGTAATTTAGTCGTACTATTTAAATGCAGGATTTATTTTGAAGGAACTTATATTTTTAGCTCCCGTTGGACCTGAGCCTCCTGTCGGAAGCCGAGCGAAAGGCCCGTCTGGAGAAGCGGAAGCCGAAACAAGTCATTCACGTTGAAGACGAAGTGGAGGACACTTTCAACGCTAGGAAATATGTTAATTTTATAAGGAAGAAGTGAGCTAGTGACATTGTAAATACGATAACAGTTACTGTTTTAACTTGAGGGTAGTGCTATTTAATAAATTGGTCCTGAAAATGAATTTTTCGAATTAAAAATAGTTCAACGATGTTTTAATCATGAAAAACATTCCTTTATTTTGCGTTAATATTTTGAGTCAACTCAATATAGGTATCGCAAACAATTCCAACAATATCAGAGTTTAATTGTCTTTCTAATCCAGCATTTTGGGTTCAAATATCCATGATGCTTCATTCTTCTTTATTCTAAACTTTTGCGTGTATGGGTTTGTTGATAGTTTATTTTCAGAGTAATGAAATATGTTTCCTAAATCTAAGTAGTAAGTCGAATGCCAATTTCTCTACCATTTAAAACTACGCGATGAGTCGAGGCAAATAAATAACAATGTCCACGCAAGCTGTGTCCAAAGGCTAGCTATTCATTCCGAATCTTTTCCTAAGAGTGTATTGCAGCTTTTCGTGATTGTGTTCTAAAATAAGTATTGCAATTAAACATTGCACTGTTTCAAACACACACAAAAATGTGCAAAATATTTGTTGCGCATCATTTACGGATCAATCTTATGAAGTAGTGTGGTTCAGAATTCCGATTGAAAGTGTTTCGGAAAATGGGAAAGAGTAGGTGTAGTGGAAGCGGATGGAGATTGAAAGAAATTGAGGAAAATTAAAATAAAGAAGACAGTTTAAAAGTTCTGCAATTATTTTGGATGTTTGAGACAATTAAGAACATTAGTGAAACATGTAGAAAATTTCAATGTTGACAGTGTGATGTAACTTCTAGTAGTATTTTTGTTCAGTAAGATTTTCAGTCTTTCAATTTCTTGCAAGAAACTTTACTGAAACTAACTTGCCTATGTGTTTGTTACGTCTGCATTATTCAGTTCAAGTTGAGACCTAGGCAATCCATCATCTATTTAAATGAAAATACAACGGCACACACGACACTTTGCATAATAAATATATAAGCTAATCTCTAGTTTCAATAATAAAAAAATAAAAAGCTATCCATACAACACAAACAGTGTGATGTCGTAAGTACGTTGTTTACAATCTACTAAAAAAAAACTTTGACTTGACTTGCACACATTAAAAAAAAAAAACCTAGTAAAACAGAAATTCAGCGCGACCGCTCGCCACGGTCGTCCTCGTCGTCGAAAATATGTAGTCATTTGAAGCGTTCAAAGTACTCCATCAACTTCTGGCACAGCATCACGCTAAACTTGGTCGACAGGGCCTTGCTGATAGTTTCCGTATTTTCCAACTTTCGAACCACCTTTCCGGTCGACTGCGGAGAACTAGGACCGAAAGCTTCCGCTGCCAGCAGGTTGTTTCCGTTGTTGTTGAACTTGTCCAGCAGTCGGCGTTCCATTTCCAGCGTTTCGCTGTCTACGTTACCTCGCATTCCAGCGGATATGTTGTTCGTATTGCTAAAGTACAGCACGAATGCCAGCTGGACCAGGTAGTACTCGAGGTTACGCAGGAAGTACTCCTCCAATACGTCCAGGTTGATGTTATGCTTGATGAAGAACATGAACAGTTCGTAGATGAAGTACTTGAAGTTGGCCGTATCCATCGGGATGATGTTGGAGTCTTTGGTAAAGTATTCGAAGATTTTGACCAAGTTCATTGTTGTTTTGGCAATGGTAGCTGGCGAGGCAGATGAGGACAGAGATCCGGATAATAGTTCTAGGATCAGGTGGAACGCTTCCACGTAGTCATAGTTCAACATCATCATTCGGATGTGGTACTCGTTGCAGCGTTTGGTCAACTCTAGGATGTTATCCTGGCCGTACAGCCCGTGGAAAATATACAAGCAGTAGTGGATGAAATCGTTACTTAGCAGATGACGTTCGTTGAACAAACGCGATGAATTGGAACTCCCATCATCCGGGTCCATATCTTCCAAACCTTCGTCATCTTCATCGTCATCGACGGCCAGCGATGTTGGGGAAGTAGCGTACGACACCGACTGCAGTGAGGACATCGTACTGGCGTTCTGGTGCTGAATCCTACAATCGAACGCACTTCTCAATTCTCCAACAAAGTCATCCATCTCCGTTGTATTGCTAACATCGTTCAAGCTGGAGCTAATGGTCGAAATGTTATTGCTAATGGTCTTCTCCAGGGTGCTCTTAATGACGAAATTCCGCTTAAATTTCGGCATCGACTTGATCAACCGCATCGTTTGATTGCCCAACTCGTGACTTCCATCGCTTGCAGGTAGTTTGATTTCGTGCGGCAATTCGATAAACTGCGAACTGTCCGGAATCCGCACCAACCTATTGGAGATGGGTAAGCGTACCAGCTTTCCCGGAACGCCACTACGTTCCTGGTTGATTTCCTTGGCACATTGGCCCATGTTGTTATTGCCCCAGGATTTAACCGTTCCGCCGTCGGTCATTATTAGGGTAAAATCGGCACCGCATTCGACGTACTCCACACCGGTGACGGTTTCCAGTTTGGTTGGGATAAGGACTTCGTTGCGACCATTTTCTCTCCCCAGTTGGCGTTCAATGTTTTTTCCCCAGGTGTAGATATTCGAACGCGACGTCACCAGGGCAAAGTGGTACAGGCCGCTGGAGATCTGCAAACAAATATATAATTGGCGAGATTTAGAAATTTTCTGAATGCCAACCTGGTACCAAATAACGTGTGGTGGCTACGTTCCACCCCGTGAAATAATTCTACTTACTCTGACAATATCGTCCTGGACTAGCGTCGTATCCACCACACTGGGGAACAGATGTTCAGCGAATTCCTCTCCAGGTGCGGATCCAACCTTTTCATCCGTTTCGGGCGTCTTCGACTCCTCCCCGGCACTGGTATCCTCGATTTTGATATCCGGAATCGGACCGATTGGTGTCCTTGGCTCCGCTACCGCTTCTAGCGGTTCCGATACCGCCTCATTCTTTGGTTGTTCTTTCGATTCCCCATCCACATCCAGCCCTGCCGGTGATTTTTGTTCCGAATCACCTTCGGCTGTGGCTTCCGGTTCCGCTGTGGCCCTCGATGAAGGACCAGCAGACTGCGGCGCTACATTTGATCGGCATTTGCTGTGCGATGATTTCGCCCGCTTGCGAGCTTGATTTGCCAAACGAAGCGCCTGCGGTGAAGCGCCCCACGTGTAGAGTTTGTTGCTTTTAGTGAGGACCAACTGCAAAATTTAATAGATTTTAGCTTTCTTCCTACAACGGGGATTCGAATTGACGATTACATTAACGAAGAGCTTTGTATTGATGAGGAGGATTTCTTCGTCAAAATCTACCCGACGTGGGATCAGCGATAGGACAAAGGACTTTCCATTGCGAGTATCGACGGTGAAGTTGAATTTATCTTCCTGGCCCAATCCCAGCTGCCCGTAGTGATTGGATCCGAACACGTATAGGACGTTTTTGGAATTGCTTTCCTGTCTACAGAGCACCAGAGTGTGGGCGTGACCCAATGCGATTTGTTGTATATTCTGTTCAATTGGACGTATTTTTTTAAAAGAAACCATCGACACAACACGGAAAAACAAACCTTCTTCCGGAAAAACTCCACCATCCTTGGTTTGGCACAGTCAGCTACGGAGCCGTGACCTAGTTGACCAAAAATTCCCCATCTAAAAAGACATTTTTGCGATCACATCGAAAAAACATCGAAACTCATCGAAAAACATACCCCCAGGTGTACAGCAATCCATTCGCCACGACAGCATTGTGGTACTGTCCGGCACAAATGTGCGTAATGCTCTTCCCATCCAAAGCATGTACATACATTGGCTGCAACGCATTCAGCACGTGGTTTCCGATACCCAGCTGGCCCAGGTTATTGGCACCCATCGAATAAACCTGATCAAAAGAAGAAACCAGCCATCAGGACTTATCTCCTTAGAACCCACCCAAACCTACTACTCACCCCATTATTGGTCAACAGAAGCGTATGCAGTCGTCCGCACTGTACCGCAATCATCTCCAGATCGAGTTGCATCAAAAAGAACGCCGTCGGTGGTGATCCGTTCGGAGCCAGTGGATCACCTTGGAGCCGGGTTCTGCTAAGGGCACAATTGACCCCATTGGAACCCCACAGGTAGGCTACCTTATTCACAACGCAACCGGCATGGGAAAACCCAGCCGATAGTGGCGAGTACTGCCGCAAGCGCATTTCGACCAATTTCTCATCATAGTGCACCCGCACGTGCTTCAGAGCATTCAGGAAACTACCACTATGCATCTTGACCATTTGAGCACGGATCGAAACGGCTAGGAAGGTTTCGATCAGAGATTTGCAAAAGAGCAGCAGGTTTTTGTCCAGTTCCCGACCGGAGCCGCTGTCGTGATTGGATAATTTGTGCATCAGCGGCCGGTAGATCGGGTGGAACGGGTTTAGCTGGCGGATGAGACGTTCCAGGACGTTGATATCAAACCTGTCCATGCACCTGTGGATCATTTCAAAGTAATCCAGGGTGTACTCTTGAAGATAGATCAAGCTTTCCATAAACAGTTCGTTGGAAAGGTTGTAGACGTAGGCGTTGATTTCCGCAGAATGATCCGCAAGTTGTTCCCAGATTCCGATCAGGCAGCTGAACACGTCCAGACAAGTGCCACGAACCATTGCCAGCAGGACCACGGAGGAGTACAGCTTACCGTGGGCGAGGATGATGCAAGCCAGGCTGGTGTGATATTTACTATTGGTGACGATAAAGTTCCACAGCGGGATGTAGTTTTTGTCCTGGACACAGCGCTCGCACAACGTCAGCAGCATCAGATTCGACAGGTGGAACTGTGCGGTGGTCGAAATCTGCACGTCCCACGATACGTCATCATTTTCATAGGAAAAATCGCTGCACTGGGCGCCGGCGTTGATCGGCTTCAGCGAAACCTTGGCATTGAGCTGGAATAAGAGGATGTGTGTATGGTTAGGTATATTTCATAAAAATATAAAAAAATGCATCCTGAGTTATTTTCAAATCCATTTCCGATGTCAATTAATACGTTATCAACCAGAAGTTCAGTCATATTAAGTGATATCTCCTGAAATTCAAGAGTTGAAGACCAACGTCGAGATTCGCACATGTATCGATGCATCAAAAAGATGAAAAACAGCAACCTCCGGAAGAATATTTTTTGACTACGTCTTGGGTGCCAACCCAGGGAAATGCAACGAAAATTGGTAAGACTTTAAATGCTTATAACTTGGCCAATAATCAATGGATTTTGATTATTTGTATGGCGATCGGTTGGGCAGTTTTATTAGATTTGTGTGGTATGTCACATATTATAAATTCTTAACCGCTTTCAAAACTGTTCTATATTTCATTACAACTAGGTGTATTTCCTACTCGTTGGAAATCTTCGTTCATGTTCCCGATTTTCAAGAAAAGAGACCAGCGAAATGTGGAGAATTACCGAGGAATTACTTCACTTTGTGCCTGTTGCAGGGCAATGGTTATAACGGAGGAAATAAAGGGATAAACTATCTCCGCTGAGTGACGACTACTGAATAACGTATATTTCTACTTCTCTGTGATACATAGCAAAGTGTGTGAGTGTGCGTGTATGGGTGTTGTGTAAACGATACATAAATGTTTGGGGATTATGCGCTGGGTTAAAAAAAACTTTTCGAATGAGCATCGGTGTTACACGGTTGTGTCAACCGACACTTCTTCTCAACGATGCTAGTTCGACGTCTCGGTGCGCTCGGTTGGCATGTAGCGGAGTTCGATGATAAGCGTAGGCAAGTGATGTAGACGTACTTCGTGTCGATGTGTTTAGAACGCCTCTCCAGACGCTCAGACTCTACGATCTTCATACAGGATTGGTTGTCTTCCCAGACGACTATGGGTTTTGTTTGAGCCTGCTGCAAGTCCTTGAGAAGTTTCCGGAAACACATGAGCTGCTGACATCTGTCCGCCAGCGCGACGAATTCAGCCTCCGTTGAGGACAAGGCAACACACGATTGCTTTCGTGTTCCCCAGTCGACAAGACCGCCACCGAACTTCAGCAGGAAACCGGAGTGAGACTTCCTGTTGCCTTCGTGGCCGGCCTAGTCAGCATCCACAAACATTCCACTTCGTCGGATCCGGGACATAGGTACAAACGGAGGGAGAGGTAGCTCATCGATTCTTCCGGTTCGCCTCTTAGCATCGTGTTATAAGGTACCAGGCGATAACCAGGGTAGTTGATCGATAGCTCGATGACGTCATTTCGTTGACGTCTGCAATGGGAAATTCTCATAGCAGGCGTTGACGATGGGACGTTGTCGAGTTGTTGAATAGCAACTATCGTGGTAACTCACCGATTACCTGTCGATCTGCCAAATTTGGAAAGACGTCTGCATTGAATTGTCTAATATTCCGCCCACTATATCACAAGAAATTGCGAGTAGCTGAGTGGAATGGAGATAAGCTAAGCATTGGGTACAGGACCAAGTCTCCCCTGGGTGGTGCTAAAAGATGAGCGCAATAGAATCATCAAGTTGCCATAAGGCACGGAATGAGACTATTGCATGGCTGGGTAGTCAAAGTCTTCCATTCGTTAGTTATTTCAGGTGGATTAGAACAGGTTTAGGTTTAGGGTGGGCGTTGGCCAGATTTGGATTTTTCAGATGTAATCCTGGATAGGACCCTGTCATTGAACGTCGCGTGAAAGTGGAACTTAATGAAGGCCTAAGTACTTTTTCGTAGTTTTTAGTTTTCGGATTTGAGCAGAAAAACGCGGTCCCAGGTCCTTACATACCAAAGAGATTTATGGTAAAATCGCTTGTGTATCGTGTATTTTGCGAAACTCTTTGTTGTTGTTGGTTCCGGGTTTGAATGGATACACAAATTTGAGCAACGGTATTATGTGATATGAGGGGCTCGGTGGCCTTAGAGCAACCGTTTTTGCTTACTGAGCAGAACATCATGAGTCTAATCTCAGGCCCATCCACATTCAAGATTCGTCAATCGTTTTATTTGTTAATATAATAACAGCAACTCGGTGATTAAAAAGGTGCTCGTTTGCCTAGTGGTAAACGTTTTTGCTTACTGAGCAGAAGACCGTGAGTTTAGTCCCAAGCTCCTTCGCGTTATATGATCGTTAGGACATCAATTCAGCTTATCGTTTACCAAAACGAACCCTGGTGCTAACCCAACCCTCTTATCCAACATCCCAGTGATTCCTCGTGGAAGTGCAGAGGTGTTCTCGGCTTCCATCAAAGCGAGTGTCATGTCAACACAATCCTTCCCATTCCTTTCTTGACCTGTGTTCGGGCGCGGCCGGCGCTGGTATTGCCTAATTTAAGATCACCAGTTTTTACACATTAAGGATGATGGCTAGTCCCAAGCATCGTCTATTGGTTCTCTGGGTAATTACAGCTGATCTGGCAGTAACAGAGTAGCAACCGTGGGCGGTCAATCAAGCTCAAGCAAGAAAACAGAAACCGTCAGGAAGTTAAAAGTACATTATAAAACAGATTTTTAGCCTAACACGAGAGATATTAAAATCAAAGCAGTTATAACATTTGTTGAAAATCTTGCACTTACGACTTTTTTTAACTAGTTTGTTTTTTACTAGGCTCAGTCTTGTGCAACACTTTGCGGAGCCAACAATCCGTAATTTTTGAATTAACATTTTAAACAGCAGTAATCTAGGTTAGTATTGGGTACCAATTACTCGTGGCGGGCTCGAGGTTAATGGGTAACAATTTCGATTGGAAGGAGCTAGGTAGGAAACTGGTTTCTGAAGCCTCCTTCAGATACTACTCTCGGACGGTCGACCAAATCCTGGCTGGGCAGGGGCAAGTAGCACAGGAACAGGAGGATAATAAGACTGGGACACAATGGCGGGAAATTGTTTGGAAAGGAGGGGATGGTCACATCAAACTCTAACATCAGACAAACAAAGGAATTCGTAGATCGCTTGCATGTAGGGAAGATCACGTGTTTCCAATACATCTTTTACTTCGCGGAAGGGTTGTCTACCTCGGGCCACTAGGGTATCCAATAGTCGTGCTCTGGAGGCGTCATTACCCGGGCAATACCAAACTGCGTGATCGATGTCATCATAACCGGTTCTGCACCTACATATATTGCTGTCAACGAGGTTTATTCTGTAGAGATGTGCGTCTAGCGAGTAGTGGTTGGACATAAGTCTTGACATCACTCGAATGAATCCCCGACTTACATCCAGACCTTTGAACCACGCTCTCGAAGAAACATTTGGAATAATGGAATGTAACCACCGCCCAAGAGAATTACTTGTCCAATCGTTTTGCCAACTTAAAAGAGAACTCTGAGTACTAATGGGAAAAATTCATCATGTGAAATTCTTCTATCATAAATCTCGCCTTGTTGTGCGCCCACCTTTGTGTAGGATCTAAGCAACCATTGGTTTTGTAACAACCTTAAAGCATGAGAATAAATATTCATTATCAGTTGTACCTCGGACCGAACCAGACGTTTCTACATTTTGGCGACGAGCGATAAAAGTTACCCATGGATTTGGACACTCCATCCCAGAAAATTTTACTCGGACCCCCGTGAGATGGCTTGGCCTATGGTGAGTACTTGTGATAAAGCAGATTTTCGAGAGAGTTTGCAGTGGAAAATTCTAATGTACCAAACCTGAAATCATTTCCGTGGATAGAAAATTCTTAGCGATGATTTTATCTGAGAAAATTGAATTTCAATTTCTCCCGTAAACCCGGCATTTAACATCCTAAGAAATAGAGGCAGTTCAGGGTATTTTTTTTTCGGAATGAAAATCCTAATCGCTTAGGGATGATTCTCACTAAAACAATTTTGTTGATGACGTGAGACTCGGTGATTCTGGAAAATTCTAAACAAAATACGCGGAACCCATAGCAACGGGATGAAGTACGCAGTGAAATATGTAAAAAGTATCATTATGTGGAACCCAATGTTTCATGGGATGCAGTACGCAGAAATTCCTAATGTGAAAGAAAGCGGAACCTTTCGTTTGGAATGAAGTACGCAGGAAAATATGAGATATTTTAAGCGGAATCCGACGTTTAAGGATGTAGTACGCAGTAAATCTGAACTTAGAGAATGTTAAATGCGGAACCCAACATTTGGGATGAAGTACGCAGAGTGATACTGTGTATATGTATTTCAGTGCGGAACCTGAGTTTTGTGTAGTACGCAGATCACATGAATTTTGATAAAAATACGCCACAGACGTAGTGTAGCTCGTAAAGTACCTTAAAATGCGTGTTGATCCCTCCGTTTGCCGAAGATGCCGACGGACCAGTGTCTGCCCGCTGGGAGAAGTGGCGTGAACATTTTGAGGCATACCTAGCATGGAAGGACGTTGACAATCAGGAGGAAAAATTCAAATCCCTGATGATGTTCGGTGGACCAGACATCCGGAAAGTGGTCAAGCAAGTTCATGTTGACGAATCACACGCTATGGAGAACCGGTACCACATTGCCATGTCAATGTTGGACGATTACTTTGTACCGAGACTCTCGAAAACGTTCGAACGTCAGAAGTTCCGCGAGATGAAACCAGCTGTAGGTGAAAAGTTTGACACTTTTGTCATCAGACTGAAAAAGCAGGCAGCCTACTGTGATTTTGGAGATCAGCTGGAAAGCATGGTAGCTGACCAAATTATTACAACTACAACGGATGTGAGTCTGAAGAGGAAGTGCCTGGAAAAAGACTTTAACTTCAAGGAGATCGTAGCGATCGGTCGTACCCACGAGTCTGTTCAAATACAGATGAGCGATTTGGACAATCGGAACGGAAACTTACAAAAAATCAGCGCTGTCGAAACGGAGGCCAATGAAGAGTCAATTTTGACTCGGAGGACCAAGGCGGTTCAGATGTTTCCGATGCAATGGCAGACATGATTCGAAAGATCCATCGTGTCCAGCCAAATCACTCGAATGC